GAAGGAGACCAACCTACAGTTCCCAATTCCAAGAGCTCTTAACAGCAAACTTATTCTCTAAACCCTGAGGAACTAATCCTCCATAGAATTAGCTCCTAAAATCCCCTGACTTGCTCCAATTTCACTCCTAATTCCAGGGCAAGTTTAGGGTTTCATTGAAACCTAATCAAAATTACAAATTGATTCTTCTAAAAGCTTCCCTAAGCTTTAAGAAGGAATTCCTAATCAAAATTAGCCTTCCCCACAAGCTCTAATCTACACCTCAGTGAAATCGTGACCCATTTTTATTAAACTCATACTCATACCCAATTTCAACTTAAATTGAGTTAAGAGCAAGCTTACTTAGATCAAGAAGATGCTTCAAAACCATTTCAATCAAAATTCCATCCATTGAGGTCAAGGTATGAGCTTAAACCCTAATTTCATCTTGGTTTTCAAACATTGTAAAGAGAACCATTTCAAAACTTATACATCACCATATAGATATGAGCGGCTCCTTTAGATGAAACTTTGGGAAAATTTTTATGAAGTTTCATAAAAAAATCAACTGATAAATTAGGGTTTGATCATGAACGACTGTCGGTACTTCTTCCTTTGAGACGATGAACCAATCCCATCCATTTCCGTGTATTGGAAATGGATGGCTTGAATCGAGCAGGACCACGGATCTGTCCATACGAAACAGACAAAATTGCAGGTCAGCTCAACAGCCATGTGGATCCTTCTGCGAATCAGGCAGTATCACGTGCGCTTTCAACGGATCTGATGTTCCAGTTAGTCGCAATGCGCATAAATAGAAACTTAAGGATTTTTTATTTATTTAAATACAAAAAATGACAAAAACCTTCAAAAATTCATATATTGACATAGAAAAATCACAGAAATGACAAAAATACCCTTGGATTCAGAAAAAAGTGGAGAAAATTATTAGAATTAAATCAAAACTTAGTTAATTATATTTAATTTTTAATTAATTAATTACTCCCGAGAGTAATTTAATTATTAAAAATCACTTATAACTCTAAAAAAATCTCAAAATTTTATAGATTAGTTTTTAAGTCCTTAGGAACATTCCCTGATTTTTCCAAGGCTAGGAAAATTCCTTAAAATCCAATTTCCTAATTCTACAAAATATTTGTAATTATTTCCAAAATAATTATTAAAAAATTAAAAAATTGGAAATTAAATTTAAAAATGGTTAAAAATTTTAAAGTGTTTTTTTTTAAACTCTGAAATGACAATTTTTAGCCATTTAAAAATTTAAAATGACATTTTCATCACTTATGGTCAAAATTGTAATTTTCAAATTTACATTTTAAACCCTTAAGTTTCTTAAGCTTGAACCTTAGCATTTAATGACATGTAGGATCAACCTCATGTTTATTTAATGACATGTAGGATCAACCAAATCCTAGATCTAAGAAACTTAAACCCTAGTTGACATGGGGTTTAGTCATCACCTCAGGACTATTGTGTCTAACTCATCTAGACTCAAAGTCAAATGATGAGTTCAAACTCACACAACACAAAAGTTTAACATACATAGAATTATGTTAAAATTTGAATATAGTCTCAAATAGATTCAATCCAAACTCAAACATTTAGGTTTAATCCAGGTGAACCCACACTTTACCAAACCATTATTAGGTCTAAACCACAAGTAAACCTAATTAAACCTTATTAAGCCTTAACTACATTAGGTTTAACACCATAAACCCTAATTAGGTCTAAACCACAATTAGAGCTAATTAAAACTTGTTAAACCATAACTACATTCGATTTTACATATTGAACCCTAATTAAGTCTAAACCATAAGTAGGCTTAATTAAACCTTGTTAATCCTTAATCACATTAGGTTTAACACAATAGAACCTAATTAGGTATGAACCACAATTTGAACTAAATAAACCTTGTTAAGCCCTAAGTACATTAGGATTAACATCATAAACCCGACTTAGGTCTAAACCATAGTTAGACCTAATTAAACATTATTAAACCTTAATTGAATTAGGTTTAACGTAATAAGATTTAATTAAGTCTAAACCTTAATTAGACTTAATTAAACCTTCTTAAGCCTTAAATATGTTAGGTTTAACATCATAAACCCTAATTAGGTCTAAACCACAGTTAGACGCGATTAAACCTTGTTAAACCTTAACTACATAGGTTTAACATAATAAACCCTAATTAAGTATAAACCATAATTTGACTTAATTAAACCCTGTTAAATCTTAATCACATTAGGTTGATCACAATAAACCCTAATTAGGTCTGAACCACACTTAGACCTAATTAAAACTTGTTAAGCCTTAACTACACTAGTTTTAACAACATAAACCCTAATTAGGTCTAAACCACATTTAGACCTATTTAAAACTTGTTAAACCTTAACTACATTAGATTTAACATAATAAACCCTAATTAAGTCTAAACCATAATTCGACTTAATTAAACCTTATTAAGCCTTAACTACATTAGGTTTAATATCATAAACCCCAATTAGGTCTAACCTTAATTAGACCTAATTAGTTAGACCTAATTGACCACATTAAGCCTTACATATGTTGGGCTTAATCTAACTTAAACCTCAATTAGTTCTAACTCTAATTAGACCTAATTAACCACATTAAGCTTTACTCACATTACGCTTCATTCAACTTAAACCCTAGTTAGGTCAATCCCTAATTAGACCTATTTAACCACATTAAGACTTACTTACCTTAGGATTACTTCAACTTAAACCTAATTAAGTTTAACCCTAATTAGACCTAATTAACCACATTAAGACATACATACATTTGGCTTAATTCAACTTAAACCCCAATTAGGTATAACCTTAATTAGAACTAATTAACCACATTAAGCCTTGCTTACATTAGGCTTGATTCAACCTAATCCCCAATTAGGTCTAGCTCTAATTAGACATAATTAACCACATTAAGCCTTACTTACATTAGGCTTGATTCAACCCAAATCCCATTAGAATTAACTATAATTATACCTAATAAAACTAATTAAACCTTACCCATCTTATTTTTAATTAACTTCAAAACCTAATTAGATCTAATCTAAATTAAATCTAATCAACCCTTAATTCTTAACTATATTAGACTTAAGTCAACTCAAACCCTTAGTTTCAACCCAACTTGAATCTAAATCAACTCAAATCCTTAGGTTCAGTTCAACGTGAACCTAAATCAAATCAAACCCTTAAGATCAACTCAATTTGAGCCTGAATCAAATTAAACCTTTGGATTCAATCCATATGGAACATAAATTAATTTTAAGTCCTACCTACATCGGACTTAAAATTATTTCAGACCTTGAGTTCAATCCATATTGAATCTAAATCAATTTTAATTCCTAATCACATTGGATTTAGAACAATTTTAACATTAAGTTCAATTCATATTGAACTTAAATCAACTCCTAAACCCTATGGACTTAGAACAATTATAAACCTTAAGTTTAATTCATATTGAAGTCAAATAAAATTTATGTCCTAACTACATTGGACTTAAAGGCATTTTAAAGCTCAAGTTCAATCCATATTGAACTTAAGTCAATTTTAAGTCCTACCTACATTGGACTTAAAATTTTTTCAAACCATCGGTTCAATCCATATTGAATCTAAATCAATTATAAGTCCTACCTAAATTGAACTTAAATCATCCTAAATTTTAGGTTCTACCTACATTGAACTTAAATCCCCTTAATTCCTACCTACATTGGACTTAAACAATTTTAAACCTTAAGTCCAACCTACATTGGACTTAAACCATCTTAAGCTTTAGATTCTACCTAATTTGAACAAAAATAATCACAATTCCTACTTACATTGGACTTAAACCATCTTAATCTCTAGGTTCTGTCTACATTGATCCTAAATCATCCTCATACTGTAAGTTCTATCTAATTTGGACTTAAATCATTTTTATACTATAGGTTTGATCCAAATTGAACCAAAACAACATAAATCCTTTGGTTATACAAACAATAAACCTCCAGCTAGTGCCAAACCGAGACGCCAAACCGAGACACAACTGACACAACTGAGGTTCAAACTCAGGCTACAACAAAAGGGTAGAAAACATCTCTATGCCCTCAAGACATCAAAATATAGGACTACCATATGTTTTAAACAAGAATAGCTATGGAATTCCTCCAAATCAAAATAAATTCCTCCACAATATGTATATTTAAGCCAAAAACACACACAAGATGCCAAAACCGAGCCCAGCAGGGGCCAAAGCCAAACCAAATGGCTCTAACTGGAAGCTCGATTTTTAACGCTTAAATTTGGGGGAATGATGCACCTTAAATTATCTATTTTTAGTGCATATTTTATGTCTTTTATGCATACTTTTAGTGATGTTGCACTTAAAAAAAAGGTATTTTATATGTTTTTGGTTTCAGGAACATGGAATAGACATTTGGAGAAAATGAGAGAAAAATGAGATGAAAATGGTGCAATTCGTATTGCATCATAGCATTGACTTCTAGTGATATAGCGCCACAGATGGGTATAGTGGGTGTTATAGCGCTAGTAACTTCACTTCTAGAAGATTCATTGAATTTAGCTAAATTTTGAAGGGGAGTTTAAAGAGCCCTTTGATTATTTTTAGAGATCTATTAATAGGGAAAAAATTGTACAAAGACAAAGAGGAGGACTTTTTGGCAGCATTTGAAGGCTTTAGAAAGTCCAGATTTTGTTTTTAAGTATGAGTTCAAGTGTGTTTTGTATTGTAAGAGTAACTGATTGGAGAATTCTTCAAGGAGACTCCAGAATTTGTGTTAGAGAAGAAAAAGGTACTTTGCAGTTGTGTTTAAATTTTTTTTTTTTCTAAGGGTTAGATTTCAATACAAATTTGATTATTTTATTTTATTCTCCATGAATTTTGTTTGATTATTTTATTTTATTCTCCATGAATTTTGTGTGGTTGCTTTCTTTCTCTATTGGCAATTACGGCCCATTTGGGGGTATTTATTTCATGTGGCGCGGCGTCCCCCAGCGAATGTTCGTGTTTAAGGGGACGGTTTGATCACGGCCAGCCACATCGCATAGCCGAACGCGGGCCGCCGGATCCCTCCCATGGTCTGAGCTTTTCCTTTTTACTTTTACGTGCATGCCCTTCTCCCCCCGACCTTATTCACCCGGGCTTCACAGCTTCACATTTTCTTTTCCTTCTCTTTCCCGATGATCTAGGACTTCCTTAAGGGCAGAGAAGTTCCGGCTGCCCTTAAAGAAAATCCTCTACCCATCTTGACTTGTAGCTTCATCATTGCCGCTTGACTTGAAATGATACTTCCGGTGATCAATTCCGTCTTCCCAGTCCTCACTGTACTGCTCTTCACCTTACAAAACTATCTCGCGACTGCTTTATCAACCAAATAGACAATAGCGTCGGTTGTCGGTAAAAGAACTGATGGCGGCATGCTGAGCTGGGAAGAATTCCTAGAGGTCTTCATCTTTGGTACAGCGTCATCGGCTTACCAAGTTGAAGGCATGGCGCTCAAGGGGCAATGGGCAAAGCATTTGTGAAGCCTTCATCTAGATTCACGGTAATCCATGCACTCCATTTTTCTTTGTTTTTTTTTTTTTGACCCGTCTTCTCATATCCTCATATTTATACTTCTAATGGAGGAGTAATTATTCTACATCTTCTGTACTGTTACACTATCCTCTTTCGTGTTATATAGGAAAGATAAAGAACAATGGTGCTGCTGGAGTTACTATGGATGAGTACCACTGATACAAAGTATCTGTTCTTGTAGCTTAGCCCAAATGTTTCTGCATGCATCTATTTGGTAAATGTTGTCCATGTAAATATAGATGATAATATTTGTGGTTTTCCAGAATCTTTAGAGTTGTTTCCAATTAGAGTTATAGATTATGGAAATTTGATGTCAAGTTTTGTGATGCAGGAAGATGTAAATATAATGAAAAATCTAAACTTTGACGCATATAGGTTCTCAGTTTAATGATTTCAGATCTTTCCAAGCAATTATTGCTCCAACTTTTGTATTTTTATCAAATCTAAAAGAATTTATTTAGAATGGTGTTTTTTTATGCCAACATTTCGTTCCAATATGTTCTCATTCATGGGTGTTAAAAAGAGAAGCCAAACCTCTTTATGGATGATTAGACTTTACTAAGAATGTTCGAATATCCTATAATAATCAAAGAAGGGTTCTCAAACCAAAGTTTGGCTAGGCTCAATTGACTAATGTGATTTATGGTTCTTAAAATACTTAATTAAACCTCCAATAGTTAAGTTGTTATCTCACTTTCACACTCTTGTTGAGCATGTTTTTAGTGCATTTGTTATTTAGGGCTTTGCAGAGATGCCACGAGAATTTTGATTTTAGAGAATTGGAAGGGAATTATTGATGATCACTATTTTAAATTGAGATTCATCAAGGCACTGTGATATTTTTTAATTGTAGATACCTTTTGGTGTATGGATATATAAGCTATTGTTCACTAACCTATTTGCGTAAAATTTTTGTAGAAGTTTGTGTTGCAACTCCCTCTGAGGACATTCAAGTATTGTTTACCAACCTATTTGCATAAAATTTTATATAATTTAGTTGTATTTGTTTAGCACTTAGTTAATAAACAACGAGCCTAGCTTCATATACAATGCACATTACCTATCCTTGTTATGTTTGCTTAATATCTATAGAAGCTATCTTGGGAAGGCTAAGTTCAATGGTTTCTTAGATTGAGTGGGTTAACCACAACTATTTGTGCATATTGGTGGCATACTTGAGGCTTCTACTTGTTTTCACAATACATACCAGCTTTTCAGCTTGGAAAACAATTTTCTTATTTTATATCTTTGCATAGGTCTCCTAAATCCCAATTTGTCCATGGATGCTTTCTGGGACATGAAGCAATTCGTTGTAATAAGCTTAGCGTTCATTGAAATTTTTATTATTTCATACTTAGCTTTAGCTCTAGGCTTTGAATTGAATCTCATAAACGACAACTCAGAATTATGTGATGGTTCGAAGGCAAAGCTCATCCTCTTCCAAATGTTGATTATTGCTCACCCCATATGATCTTATCTTTTATCTAGTGGAATTTCTGCACCATTCCTTGTTATATTCACTGAGTGAAAAGAGATAAAACAAGCTTGGAAGTTAAAATAATCTATCATTTTTGTCAATAAATTTTAAAAATCTTCCTTAATAATTTGCCATTCTAGTTTTTCTTGAGCATCAAAGTTTGTTTTCCAATCTGGATTATGTGATTAGTAAATGATGATGGTTTATAATCAGCTTAGCCATGGTGCTATGTCATTTATTTCAAAATGTTGAATGTAATTCTTTCTCAAATATTTGAGATATTATGCTGATGCTTGTGATTATTTTGAAGGTTACTGGTCCATTTTGAAACTTGAATGCCCATGATCGGGCTATATGGCTGAATGCTTATCGTTTCTATTTAGATTCTATGATCATTGGTTTCGAAGCTTGTAGATTTGTAGATTTACATGCATACCACTCTTTTTATTTGTATTTGAATATCTCACCCCAAAACATCAAATGTTTCACATACATGCCATCCTACCTATGCATTAGGATCGCCACTTCATTTTTAAATAGAAAATGGATTTATTTTTCATGTGATATGAAATACATGGGTGATAAGTTTTTGTTCTTTCCTAGTACATATAATAAAAGAATTATGGATAATAATTTTTATTATGTTCTTATTAATGGTAATAAATGTGTTTTTTTCAATTCTACTAGAGGTATCAAACATAGTGATCCCTTTCTCCATTTCTTTTTATTTTGGCTTTTGATTATCTTTCTAGGTATCTTAATAAATTTTTTCATCAGTTTCTTAATATGAGGTATAATGACAAAGGTGGTTCTGGTATTAATCATTTAGCTTATGCTGATGATCTTATTATTTTACTAGTGCTAATAAAAGTACAATCAAGCATCTTTGGAAGGGTTTGTAGCATTTTCAAGAGGCTTTTGGGCTTATCTTCAATCCTAATAAGAGTAATTTTTACTGTTCTAAAAAGATTACTATTGCTTAAAAGAATTGGATTCAGGATTTTACTAGATATGCTAAAGGAGACTTTCTTAATAAAAGCATTTGTAAAATGCATTTGTTTAAGAATGTTAATGATAAGATTAGGAGGAGGATTATGTCTTGGGATATTCTTCTTCTTTCTTATGGTGGTAAGGTGATGTTACTTAAAAGTGTCCTTACTTCTGTTCCTTTATTTGCTTTATGTTTTATAAAGATGCCTTATTCTATTTGTATGAAGCTGGAAGGTATTTTTAACAATTTTTTGTGGGCTGGTAAGGATATTAAGATTCACTGGATGAGATGGAAACCAATGTGCAAACCTTTTAGCAAATGGACTTGGTTTCCATTTTCTTTTGGATACTATGCCTTTTAGTTATATGAATTTATGAGTTAATTCCGTAAGGGTAAGTCCCTTTGGGCTAAAATGATGGATTTGAAATATTGTAAAGATGTGCATCCTTTGGCTTTGGATAGTAAAACACAGGATTCTTTTGTTTGGAAAAACATGCTTAAGGTGGCTAATTGTACTGAATCTTTTATTTATTGGGATCTTGGTGCAGGAAAGTGTAGTTTTTGGTATGATAATTAGATTGGTTTGGGTCCTTTAGCTGATAGCTATGGAGGACCTTTTGATGTTAATTTACAGGTACAGGAGATGTGGAATGGTAATGTTTGGAATATTAATAAGCTTGCTAAGCTGGTTAATAATGAGGATTTGGCTAGTATAACTAAAGTTCCTATTTGTCAGGGTTCTGATAAAATCAAGCTTAAAGGTAAGTTGGGTTGGCCTGCTACTAAAATTTGGAACATATGTAGGTTCGTTGGCTTTTCATTCATCGTGAAGGGAATAAATGTACTGATTGTGCTACTAAGCAAGGGATGCAGACTCAAAGTGTTATTTTTTTTCTAATAAATTTCTGGAGATTCTTAAGTGTTGTATTAGGGGTGATATGATGGATTCCCTTTACATTCGTATTTCTTCTTGATTTTGTTTTTGTTGTTTTGGGTGTAGTGTGAGTTTTATTTTTATTTTTGTGGATTAGGAACCTTTCTTATTTTTGTGTGAATTTTATAGGTTTAGGTTGGGTTCCTTTTCCAAACTTTGTATTTTTTGTTATTTTTTAATAAATTGGAGTCTTTTAGTACTCTTTATTAAAAAAAATAATAACGAACAAAGGAATCCGTTTCTTCACTCACAATCAATGGTGTTTTGATAGTCCTTGTTTGGAATATAAAACACTTGCATGTCACTCCTAGTACTTTTTACTCTACTTCTAATTAGTTGGCTGCTTAAATGTTTGCTAACAGATCCTAAAAATGTTGTGTATGGAGTAAGAAATTATGAAAATTTATGCTTATTTGCAACATTTATCCCTAATTTTAGTGTTTAGCAACTGTCATAATTTAAGGAGCTTTTAAATGTGTAAATATAGAATAGTGTGGTAGGCATGTAAATTACCTTTTTTCTGTTAATATAAGCCGTGTATATTTGTAAGTCCTAGTTAAGTTTTGTTCTAATAAAAGAGTCGGCATGTAAATTTTTCTTTTTCTGTGCCAATATATGATGGTGAAATCTGGCATTTTTTATTAGATGTGCAAGATTTTAGTGGCGTGTGCATGTAAATTTGAATATTTTGTATTATATATGTAAATGCATAAGAATTGCTTGGTATGTTTGTAAATGTCCCATGTAAAAAATATTAAGTTTTTATTTTTGTAGGGGCATTTACATAAATACCTCCCAATTTCTATGTATTTACATATCTAACACTTAAACTTTACCTTCAGTTAGAGCTGGATTTTTTATTCTAGCTGTCATGAGAGTAACCCTGCATTACCTAGAGTTAAATTTGTTACTCTAGCAGCTCGTCTTGTTAACCGTTTACTGGGTTTCCATTCAGCTCCCCCATGCTTTCCATGGACCTCACCAAAGGCACTAATTCTTATTCCGCAGCTGTTTGCCTAGCCCAACTGGTTTGTTCCGCAGCTGTTTGCCTAGCCCAACTGCTATTAGATGGCTTGTTCTTTCCATTTCTCCATTATATAAGTTTCAATTTATATTAGCTTTTTCCTGCTATATATTAGCAATTATTGAAACTACTCATGCTGCAGTTGCTAAATAAGAGTTTATTGTATGTAATTCATGCTTTTCCATTGGAAATCTTATTTACAATTTAACCTTGATTCTAATTTTTTGGACACTTATTTTCTCTTAGTTTTCATGTTTTTCTTCGCAAATTAATTAGTTGTACTGAGGTTGAGTGATTTAGGCTGATAAAAATTAGTGATTTAGGCTGTTAAAAATTTCTGATCATCTGATCCAATCTATGTTCAATCAGTAATCACTAAATTTGATTCTAAATTTGATTATGTTGGTTGTCTGTAATTTCTGGTTCATTTGGTGTGGAGAGATTCATCTGTCATTCTTTTGTCTCTTCATGTGTTTGCTAATTTGATACTTCTAGCCTTGGGCTAATAGCTCATCAGATGCTCGATATTCTAAGTTGGAGCTGTTTTGGTTAAAGCTTCATGCAACTTTAATTGATTCCTTTTTCTACCAATGCCCTTATAGTTGATCTCCGAATAACAATGGTAATTTCATACTTGATTTTCTCTTGAATCTGAGATCATAGACTAGCAAGAGTAGTACGCTGAGATGGACCAACTATCTCAGGCTAAGAATGAAGCGTGGTAACTTCACAGAAGTTTTGGTGTTATGATATGTAAATAAATAAGAATTGAGTTGTATGTATGTAATTCTAACACTCAATGTTGGATATTTACTCTTATAACACAGCGTCATAAATCTATGTATGAAAATTGTGTACTTCACTTTTAAAATGGAACTAATTGAGGGTTTTTTTATTTGATGTTAAAAAGTCAAGTGGTATGCATGTAAATATGACTGTTTAGGTGTTAGATATGACACAAGAATTGTACTGTACGTAAATGTCCCAGATATATAAGCCATGATGGTGAAACTGGCATATTTTATTTGATGTTATAAATTTTAATGTTTTGATCTTATATATGTAAAAAGAATTGTGTGGTATGTATGTAAATGTCCCATATATGTAGGCCATGATTATGAAATTTGATATTTTTTATTTAATGTTGAAAATTTAAGGGGCGTGCCTGTAATTCAAAATTTTTGGTTTTATATATGTGAATAGATAAGAATTGTGTCATATGTTTGTAAATGTCCCTTATATGCAAGCCATGACCGTGAAATCCATCATCAAAGGCAATCATTTTGGGTCTTTTAGACATCTACTCTTCTCAAGCAGTGCGGTTATAGCAGTCTGGACAACTCATGTGCTGAGGTAGGCGCATCTTCCATGTTGGATATATTCTGTTTGATTAAAATGGAGTTTAGTTATTAAATGTATAATACATAAGAATTGACTGGTATGTATGTAAGTCTCTCTGTGCGAGAGCATGCGCGCGCATATTTACTGGCATGTTTGCGCTCGCGCACACACACACCAAAAGCTTTTTATTATCCAATTAATGTAGGCGAGGGTTTCCATTATTTTTATTTAAGTTAATTTTTTAAATTTAATTTTATTACAGTTAATTTCCTCACGAGACTTAATCAACCAGTATGGTGAGGAGTTTTTGGGCCTTCATTGGATGATTAATGGTATTTTGTGAAACTAACTTTTTCATTGGATACTGTGAGGTAGGCTATTGATTCGAGTTTGCTTTCTTGCAGTTGAGGGTTTGGATGCTATTCCGTTTCATTTTCAATCGAATGGCTTATACTTGGATCGCTTGGCCATTTTCTTGTCTGTTTTTTATCTCAGGTGGCTTTGGCCTATTAGAATTGGCTCCTTCGGCTTGGTTTGTTCGGCTTGGCCAGCCTCACGATCTCTTTGTGGTGAATTTGCATCCATCATGTTCTTCTGTTTTGGACCGTAAGGACTTGATAGGATGAGTGCACACCCTTTTTTGATGTATACGTACTAAACAACTAAATTTTATTTCTGTATTTCTACCATTCAAATCTTTTATATCACATTTTGGTGTCAATAATAATAAATCTATTAGTTGAAATGTATGTATTTTGAGGCTTATAAAGGCTACTTTTCTTTTATTAAATTCTTCTTTTAAACAGAACAACATTTACATGTTCAATGGCAATTCATCACCATAAGGTCATTTTTCCCACACTATTTGGAGGGTGGGATTGCATTTGCTGTTGCTTTCCGGATTTTAATGCTTTTTTTATATTTTCCAGATTGTAATGCTTTTTTTCATATTTTCTTGCACTGGTATGAAGCAGCTTGGAAGGCATGTGCATCCTGCGTGCCACCGTTGTGTTAGTGTCACTTTGAAGAAGGCATGTGTATCTTGCATGTCATAATATCGATTATATGTAAATATCTCATATCATATTGCTGGAACAAAATAAATTATATATTCCAAAAGTAAATTAAGTGCAATTTCCTAGATTGAAATTTATTAATAATTAATGATTAATTCATTAATTTCAAATTAATCATAGTTAAATGAACTTATATATTGTTATTTAATGATCAATTAATTAAATTTTAACTATATTTTTATGTTCTTAATTCTTTGATAAAAATATAAATTTTCTTAATTATTAAAACTACTTAATTATTTGTTAATGTAAATTTATTGTTTAAGAAATAATTTTTTTAATATAAAAATTATTTTATATTCTACTTTAAACAGCTTTGTTAAAGAGGGGCAGAAAGGTCATTTTTTTCAGAAACAGCTGTTCTCACATAGCTGCAACAAACAGACAGTCGGTTTCCCCGCAGCAGCTTCCCTGCAATAGCTTTCTGAAAGAGGGCAGCTGCAGCTGCTCCAAACAGACCCTTAATCTTGTGGGATGAGAATGATTTAAAGATTTCTTTTTTTACTTTTAAAAATTGTGATGACATTTTCTCCGATTCTTTATTGACTTTACAAATTGGTCACTTGTGAGATTAAAATTTGTTGAGAAACCTAAGGGAGAGTGTAAATAAAAAAGGGAGATAAGTTTTGATGGACGTAGAATTGATATTTCTAGGGTGATAGAATAGATTCTTTTTCCATATCGGTTTAGAGTTTGGATCGTAAGAATTCATAGTAGTTTTTATAGAGAGGGTACAATGAGTAATCTGGAGGTGGGAGGTCAAAATCTACTCAACATTTCTACACAAGCTCATGAAGAACTCTAAATTAGCTAATGTTCTTTGCTAGCACCCGGAGGGAGTGAAGAATAGGAATGCTTATATTTGTCACAATACATTATCATATTTTTAATCATTAAAATCCTACATAAATTAATATCTCATTGCAAGGAGAAAGAACTTTTCATACAATTCAATCTCGTTAGCTTACTTTTATTAAATTGTCAATTATAGTTAATTCTATTTGTTTAATTTATTCTTAACCGTTGCAATCATTTCATTTTTATTTAACCTGCAATTTCAATAGAATTTTCTTTTTAGTTTGGCAAGCCAATTTAAAAGAGTCCAACTTTCCTCGTGGGATCGATATTGGAATTTTTAAAGAAAATCATATATTACTTGGAACGATATATATACTTACTTAGTACCTCTAGTGTGAAGTTTTATTATTTATTTTTCATATCATTTTATTTATTCACACTAACTGCTGAATATAATTTGGACCATATTTTTTATAATATTCTATTTGATTGTATCGAAAGGCCCACTTAATTATAATATTTTTTTATAACTGTTTTAAAAATGTGAAGTTTTATTAAAACAGTCATCGAATGCAAATGATTATTTGCAAAGAATGAAGGATTTCATAGAGTTGTTGTGTAGTACAAGGCAATATTAGTGGCAAATGATTTTGTGTATTGAGAAGAGATTGATTGAGATAAGGTGTTCTCTTCATTGGTCAACCATCCCATAATTCATATTTTTTTAGCACTTGCAGCACAATACAATTTGATCTTAAGACATCTTGATGTTGACTTCATTCCAACACGAAGAATTGCAAGGGATCTATATGTTGCAGCCGTCTAAATATAGAGCATCAAAAGACTTTGTTTGCAATCTGGATAAACCTAAGTATAGGTTGAAGCAGTCACAACGGTAGTGGTAAAAGAAAGTTGATTAATTCAAGAGGGGACAAAAGCACACAAAAAACCAGTAAGTTCATTGTGGATAGTTTAAAAAGTTAGCCAACAATTAGTTCATTTACTTTCCTCTATATGTTGATTATATTTTAATTACATCTACTGGTTAGGTTGAGGTTGACAGGATGAAGAATCAACTATCCAAATATTTCGAAATAAATGACTTGGTTGAAGCTCGCAAAATTCTTAACATGGAGATTCTAAGGGGGGAGGTAGTTAGAAAAGTTTTGTTTTCGTAAGGTGCTTATATTTAAAAATGATGAAGAAATTTGGGGTTAATGAATCAATCAAGGCGGTGAGTGTACCCATTACATCTCACTTTCAGTTGAGTTTAGATCAGTGTCTTGAAGATGATCAAGAAAATAACGACATGTGATCGGTTCCTTATGCTAGTGCAGTGGATAGTTTGATGTATGTTATGGTTTGTACTAGATAAGATATTGTACAAACAGATAGTGTTGTGAGCAGGTTCATGAATGATTCAAAAAGGAGTCATTGAGAGATAGTGAAAAGTATTCTAAGGTATCTGAAGAATAGAGTTGATGTTGTCTTGGTGTTTCACAAGGAGCTTATGTTGCTCCCTTCATTGCCTCCATGAATGTCATGTACTCAGCCTCCGTAATAGACAAGGCAACAGTAGAATAAAGAACAAACCTCCAACTGACTGGACCTCCTGCCAATGTGAACAAAATATTCAATCGTAATTCTCAGCCTATCAATATCATATGCATAGTCTGAGTCAGTATAAGCTACACACAAATCTGCACTAGATGATTTCCTTCCTGCCAATATCTATTTTTAAATGGTATGTTTTTAAAAAATTCCCCTGAGAAAGGTCGCATGGGAGAGAAGAAGTTTGAAGGAGGCCAACTAATTCTCATTACTTGCTCGAGAGAGTTGCAATAAATGAAAAGCTGATAATGTCTTACACCCTCTCTACCGCCCTCTCCATCCATTTTACAACCATTGAAGCGCAGGAATTCTCATCTTACGAACTAAAAGTTAAGAAAATAAAAATAAAATATAAAACGTGCATGCGATAATTTTATGCACGGCACAATACTGGGCATTTCGTCAAACACTTGCGGGTCTCTGTTCGGCGACGCCGGTGGCGCGCTCGGTGCTCCAAAGGCGGACCTGGAGGCCCTGACTCGGAATGGGGAATGGGCTGTACTCCACCTCGCTTCGAGATCCCACCACCTCAAACCTGCATCAACAAAAAAACACTTCAGTCTACTGCGAAAATCAACTATTGAGTGCATATTTATGCTGTTTATTACCCATCTTTTTAGGAAAAAGGAAAGTTGGTATTTGAAGCGAATTATATATTTATGTAAAGAAGCAAAACAAACATTTTTTCTTAGGATTTGCAAATATTTTATTTTAAACTTTATCAATTTTTTGTCTGTGAATAATTTTTTTCTTAATTACTGGAAAAAATATTTATTGAAGATGGCACAAAAGACATTCTTAAAATAAACGCTACTATGTGCACAAGAACCCCAAATAAAATTTATTTACGAGGCATTATAAAAATTATGCGTCAAAATTTTTGCTTGCCTGCACATAAAATAAAATATCAGATAGTATTTTTTTCTGATAAGAACTTTGAAAAAGACTAATCTGATAATTTCTTTATTAGATATTTAAGGGAATTTAATTATCATATTTAAAAATATACACGACATCGGATAAAACATTTGTTTTATAAAATAAAATCCTGTTCTCCAAACGAAAATTACAGTACAAATTGGATACCGTATTGCTATAATTTTTTTTTTAAATCTAGCGTGTATTAAAAAGCATAAATTTTCATATGAACGCACCTAAATTTGGTTACCAAGTGGTGGATGACGACTAACATCTCAATTCTGGCTAGCTCGTTCCCCGGGCATGAATGTACCCCGTTTCCGAAGGGCAAGAAGGTATTTGGCTTGGGAGAAGCCTGCATGAATGAAAACCATTAATTATTACTTTTTTGCCATTAAGAAGATTAGCACAGCTAAGGAATATATATATATATATATATATCATGATGAGTATGCTACATTCATGATGAATGATTCAACACTGGATGAAGTGATATATATATATATAATGAATGGAATAGAGGGGCAATACCATAAATCTACAAGGATCGAAGCTCTGTGGTTCTGGAAAATATTTCGAGTTGTGATGAATATTCCGGAACAAAGGCATCACTTTCCATCCCTTGGGAATTAGATATCCTGCATCACGTGAAACTTTTATCAGTGATTTTAATCTCCAAAAAGAAACTTCTGTAGTCACATATTGAAAACTTCTACAAAAACAGTGAATAGTACTTCAATTACATATTTTAGTTGTACGAAAATATACTTTAATCATACACCATTAACAATAAATCAATTTCGATTCTAATTTTTCATATTTTCCTACTTATCTACTTCTTTAGCAATGTGGAAAAGTAGTTTTTAATATATTGAGCTAGGGCCATTTATATCCCGCTTCAATTAGGAACGAAAACATTGCATGTCAGTTTATTTTTCATATTACTCTTTATATTGTCATGCACTTTTGGAAAATGGCATTGATAACTATATTATTATTACCCTTATACTCTACATCCGTCACGGCCTCCCTATAAGTGAAGGAAATGATGCTTGCCATCCTCAAGCTCTCGGATATAACCTAAGACAAAAAGAGGAGTACAAATAAATATTACTCTCAATTGCATACATAATGAAAGAGACGGCTATCTAATGACTTGATAGTAATTTTCTCACGTACTCTTTTAGTAAAAGGCATATTCCTCGTGTGGGCCCAGGTCAATTGCTGGCTTCCACATCCAGTCGACTCATAAATTGCCATCTGTTCGTTCTGCAAACCAAGAAAATTATGTTTAATGTAAAATAATATGATTTGGACAAAGATGAGATGACAAAAAGTCACGAATATTCAAAATTAAAAATGTTTAAACATAAATAGAAAATTATAATTGAGTTAATTATTTTCTTAATATAAATTTTATATATTTTCTAACATTGAACAGCTCGCCTTCCTGCCCCAAAAAAAATTGTACCAAGATTTCTTAATATTTATAATTTTGTTTTAAAACATTCTCTAATTTTGAAGGTGAGCATTAATTTCGATTAAATATCTACTTATTCTCAAATAATAATGTATGAACATGTCCTATATTTTTTTCCTTCTGCTCAGCAAATTTTTTGGTGTGAAAAAAATATTAAATCCAAAATTCTAAATCGAACGATTTACTTTTAATTTTTAAATTACTTAATTTTGAAAATTTATCTTATTCTTTATTGGGTTAATTTTGTCTAAAAAATCAAATTAAATCAATAGATACATGATATGAAATTTCAAATTCCATTAAAAAAATTTATTACATATTAGTCGTCCGATTAATTAAGCTGAAGCCAATAGCCCTCATTGATTTTGCTTCTCTTAACTTGAATAAATACTTCAACAATTCTTTAAATTATACAAAATTTCAAATCAAATCCTACTAAACATTTAAAATCTTTTAAAAACTTAATCAAATCAATTCTAAATTGAATAGCAATTTCTACAAATTCATCTATTAATCAAACATAAAATAAACCTAAACCGAATTGAACCGAACCTGTTAGGTTGTTGTGACTTGATTTGATTCACCATATGCTATTTAGGTTTCAGTTTCAAAATTAAATGAGTAATGCTAATCATGTAGCACGAACTAGTTGCCGATTATACACACGTGCAGGTGGACTTTTCGTAATCTCTGTACCTTTACTGCGTCCAGAAGCTTTGGATCGTCATGAAGGTACTTGATCAACCAGGTAATGACACTTGCAGTAGTATCCTGCGCTGCATAAAGAACACCGAATATGTTATCGGAGATCTGATCGTCGCTTAGCCGCTCTCCCTGGTCGTTCTTCCACTCCAAAAAACATGACAGCAGATGATCCTTCTCTGCTGTCTTTTCTTCTCTTCTCTCTTCCATTATCTCTCTAAGTATCTCCTTAAGTCTCTTCCTCGCCTGAATGATAAATTTCAAAACAGAACGAGTTTAAATGATAAAATATTATTGTTAAGTTCTGCACGAACCTTAATGGCGTTGCTGTAAGCTGTTCTGGGAATGTTGGTGGCAAAAGAGTTATAGCCCTTGTCAACAATGGAGTAATTTCTTTTGATTTCATTCTTCCTCTGCTCGCTCAATTGGTCGCCAAAGATTATGAGGATGCCGACGTCAAAAGACATCTGCAAAATGATTACCAGTTGGTGGAGAAATCAGCATCAGGACAATCTCGTGGAGGGAAAAAGGTTAATGATAATATTTATAGAAATATATTTGGAAGATTTACATGCATACCACTCAGTTTTTTGTATTAACATATGAAGACATAAACTTCAATTTGTACTTGTATGTATATGCCACCTTATTCATGTTATATTTCACTTTTTAAAAGATAGAATAATAATATTTTATATGTGATTTTTAGGATTTAGGTGCTATAAATATAAAATGATCTTCAAGTATAAAAGAACAGTGCTATGTATGGTACATGCCCCAAAAACTTTTTATTCACCTAAAAATTTATTAGATAATTGACGAAAAGCACAGATGCAATCTATTTTTATTAGTGAAATGCCGTGCATAAGAAACTTATTGCAGATTTTACTTATGGAAGCTTGTGACATTATCTATTTGGAGATTTATGCTTCTAAGTGAAAGGCTCGGTGGCTTAAAAACTATTTTATAAAAAAATATTAAGTTAAGTACATAATTTGTAATTTTATCATTTAGCTTATTTTTTTAAAAACTTTGCATAAAAGTGGGCATTAGTGATTGGAGAAAATGTTATGTGTGATATTCAATTATGAAAATAAAGAAGCAGATTATACCGATTATACCATGCTAAATAGTAATCACGTTGACAATGACACATCCAAAAGATTTTGCCTATATTATCCGGACTTGAGCTACGTCCGAACGAAGGACGCGATACACCGTTGAGGAAAGAAAAAATCTTGTCAGTATAACGCGTTCGTTGTCCGAACATAATTCATCGGATGATATACGAAAAATTTTCTCCGGATAATGCTCATATTGGAGCATCCCAAAACTTAATATATGCAAATTTTTTTAAATTTCCACTAATATTATTTGCGTTACCCAAAAAATTTTTGCCTCATACGCATCAAATGAATTTCTTACATTCTAAGATTTTATAGAAATTTCTTATGTGAATTTTATCCCAAGTTTCTAAAATAAATTCCTTCTCGAATTAAAGTACCATATTTAGGATTAAGAGTTGCATTTCACGGTACATTTAAGTATAAATCCTATAGAAACAATTAATTAACCTCTTTCACAGCGTGGAAGGTGCTGAGCACACGACCATCCCAGCAGCGGAGCATGGCGCCGGCGATGACATCAATATGCGGCACAAGTCGGCGGACAGATTCCGGCGAGAGAGAACTCTGCACGAGCTTCCTGACAATGGCGTGGTAGCCACCCTGGTGAAAGAAAATCGCCCATCGCCCAATCACCCTCTCCTTGCTGCGCGGGTACGTTGGCCTGAAAAGATGAGCTTTGCTCACAAGTACAAACCTCGCCGCGTCTGGACTCGCCAGCATAACGCACGGGCACCCCAGCAAATGCGTCTTAAAAATCTCGCCATACCTGAACAAATTCCAGATCAAAATCTTAGAAAATAATTACGGCTTATTAGCTTCTTTTTTTGTTGCAGATCGACCTTTTCTGCCTGGAGGGGAAGAAGACGTTGGGATCCTGAGAATAGAGCTGGAAGGTCTCGCCGACGTAGGGCCAGCCCATGGAACCCGGAGGCAGGGGAAGCTTCCGTTGCAGACTCTTGTTAGTGTTGCTCTGCTTTCTTATTAGCAGATAGAGGAGCGTGGAGAGGATGAGCAAAATGTACATTAGAATGTGAAATGAATCCATGTTTATTTGATTGTTGGACCATAGGAATCATGAAGAAGCCAGGGAGGTGGGGGGTTTTATAAGAGAAATGCATCATGCTATCTATAATTCAATCAGTCCGACCATTTTTCCTTAGATTTAATTAATTAGCTAGGAAAGGTAAAATTGTACACTGCATTCATTCAGTCGCAGGAAACTTCATGATTACGATTTTTAAGTAACAGCGATGTCGCCGTCAGAACGAATCTGGCATTTTGTTTTCCATATCCAGAAAGCGTTTGGTCGATCTCATGCTGCAGAAATGCATCCAACGAATGTCGGAATATAAAGGCGTTGAAATATGTGAAGTGTCGAACAAATGGTGGAGGGAGTGAATTAACTCGAGAGTACGTGGATGATGTGGAGGGAATGATCTCTATAATGTTTGTTATTTTAAGAAACTCAAATAAATTAAATTATAAATAAATAATATGAATTAGTGTTTACATCATTCCTAACTAATTTCATTTGAGGAAATAAAGTTCAATGATATTTATTCTTTCATTAACTGTGATTCTACTAAATATTTCGAAAAAAATAAAGTAATAAGAAAATTGCTGTTTTTTTTTTTATCTTATTAAAACCAGTGCCTTGCTCCCTGCTCGGGTCAGTAAACGGTGGAACTTATAATACGCTGCGATAGTTCGTTATCCTAATTTCTCTGGACTGATATTATGTTGACGGCAATGCATAACCATAAAAAGCATAAAGTACAAGATTCGAAATTTGGGAGAAGTTGTCACCAGAATTTATTCATTATATTTGATGTTGTCAAAATACAATTTAAAAGATTAAATTTAAATTAATTAATAAATATTAGTTTTATCTACTTATTCTAAGGAGTTGTTTGTTTATTGTCATTAGAGGATTTTGCACTAGAATGGGGGAATTTCAGTTGTTTTGCATTTGATTAGACTAAAAGGTAATAAAATGAGAAATTTTAGTTAAGTCAAAACTCACTTTCTAGGTTTTTTTTTTTTGGAAAATTTAAAAAATCATTCTATTTCTTTTAAATAAACTCCTTGCCATCACACAATATTCATTATAATTCATTGTTGGCAATCTTAGCCAAGCTAATACTAGCCACAACCTACCTGTCAGCCATTAGGACCCATACAAACTCACAACCTAACATGCTTCGAACACGATCACTCGTTCGCTAGACTCCTGGCCACGAGTCGCCTCTTTCAGCAACTTAGTGGTTTGAACCATTATTCATCGTTTCTACTATCAATGGTTTATATTGACTTATTTTAATTCAGATCGTAGAAAAGGATAATCTTTTGAGTTTTTTTTTATATATACAAAATTGAATGATTTCAAAAAAATTTTAATGCACTTTAGTTTCAATTAGATTTTATTTCGTTTGCTCTTTTTTTTTTCTTGGAATAAATATACAGATCTTGAGTCATAAATTTAGAAAAATTCAATCACTATTTTTATAATGACTATCTGAAATAAGGAACATTCACATGTGTACGTTCTACTCAATTATTATGTATTTACAAATCTAAAACCTAAATTTCATTTCTTTAAATATATACCATTCACTTATATATGAAAATGTGTATTTCACTTTTGGGTATTAAAATTGAGATTTTTTTTTAATTTTATATAAGAAATACTTGTAATATAAATATAAAAAATAAAAGGGCATTTAGATATACAAATCTAATTTAAATACGTTGTTATCTCAAATGTAATCGCTGATATTCACTCTTGAATTGCGAGATTGTCCGTGAAACACAACCAAGGAATAGAGCGGGCAAAGGAGATATAGAGATAAAGACATAATAATGAATAATTTATTAATTTTTTTCCTCCAACAATTAAAATATTGCTTCCTTATTTATGGGAGAATTATTATTATAAAATGATCAATTATGCCCCTAGTTTTATTCAGTCAGGTGAAGATGGCTGGCTCGAGCTGGTGGCTGGCAAAACAAAGTTAGCTGGGTGGGGTAGACTAGAGCTAGTGGTCAAGCCAAATGGAACTGGTCAGGCTGAATAAAGCTAGCCAAGACGACTAGAGCTGGCTGGGCAGATTGGAGCTTGCCGTGCCAACTAGAGCTGGTGGCAAGAACAAATGGAGTTGGTAGTTTGGCCAACTGGAGCTGACTGGGCCGAATAGAGTTGGTCAACCCAAACTGAGTTAGCATGATCAAACGAAGCTAACATGACCTAATAAAGCTAGCTAGAATGACCGACTGGAGCTAGGAGCCGAGCCAAATGGAGCTGGCGTAATCGAGAGGAGCTGGTTTAATTGGGTTGACTGGAGAGGGCCAAATTCATCAAATTCCTCGGACAACCTCAGTGCCTTAAACTACAAATGAGAATTGCTTTCATGTGTATTTTTATAGGATTTTTTATCATTTTGAAATGTATCTAAAAGAATAAGAGAATGATGAATATTAAACAAAAAGTAATTGTTCCTCTATATAAGACAAGTGTGTGCTCTTTTATAAGTTGAAAAGCTATTTAAGTAAAAATGAGGGATATTTAGGTGGTGATTTCATCTACTTGGGAGCTCTTGGCTCTACTAATGGATTCCATCATGGGGGCATTATGATCACTTTTAGGGAGCAGTCCCAAAGATCCCCATCTTATCGCTATTATAGGAATTAGTTATGTGAGGATAATTCCCCAAGTGTAATAATTGGAAAGAGTCCCCTTTTTTATTCACTAGGTTTATTATTTCCTTTTAACATAACTCGCTTAAAAAAAAATGTAAGCAGTTCTATTAAATTGAGATTATGTTTCCCAAGGGCGACATAATTCTCCTATAGTGAGTAGTCACATTAATTTTTAAACTTTACCTTGGCAAAGATCTCATGCTCTTCTACCCTTAGTTAATTAATTTCATTCTTTTCTTGGTTGAGTTTCTTTTTTTGGAAAAACCTTCTCCAAATTCGTTCCTAGCATTCAGCTTTTAAGCCGAGTAGGGTCCAAAAATTAAAAAAAAAACATCATTTTTTCTTAGAAACTTACTCTTGAGAGGCAAGTTCTCCAAGTGTTATGGGTGAATTGAAGAAATAAGAAAAATAAAAAATGCTGTAGAAAAACAAATAGGAGGGTCCTAAGAGATTTTCCTTTTAGAGTTTTTCTTGTTTCTCAATTTCACTCATTCATGCCTTATCTTCCCTTGGATAAACTCTTTTGGAAGAACTTTGGCAGGAAAGCAATTTTTTGGCCGACTATAGATGGTTAATTGGAGCTCATCTGGTCAAATAGAGTTTGTGGTAGGGCCAAATGGAGCTCGTCGTGTCGAATGGAGTTAGCTGGTTTGAATGGAGCTTGTCTACCAAGTCTGTGAACCAAATTAGAGCTAGCTTGGCTGACCAGAGCTAGCAGGGGCGAATGGAGTTGGTGGTTGTGTCGAATAGACCTGATCTAGCTGAGTTAATTTAAGTTGTTGGTTGGCTCAAATCGAGCTAGCTAGGCCGACTATAGCTGGCCGAGCTGAACGGACCTCGCCAAGTCAAACAAAGTTTTTACATGTATGTGTTTTTCATGTGACTACCTTCTGGCTCGGATGGCTAAGCATAATTGACTTCGGGTCGATAAGGTCGACTCGACCAGCTAAGCTTGGTCGTTGTGATCCGATCGACTGATCCATTATAGTTGAAAATCATTAATATTTATTGAGGAACCATTTGAGTCTCCATTGAATGCTTGAAAATATTTTATGGAATTGGATCTTCCATTAAATGGTGTCTACTTAGAGGTACGTTATGGAATCAAATCGGCTTTCTAATAGCAATTGGCTTGAATGCTCTTTCATCTCCTTTTCAATTAGATAACTCATGCTTGGATTATTTGATCATCTTCTTGTTCACCTTTAGGTCAGTCGAGTTTGGTCAGGTAGTTTTGGCTCGTTTGATTGGGTGACTCTCATGATCTCATAGTAGTGGGTCTGTCTTCATCATAGTCTTCCCTTTTAGACCTTTAGATCTTATTAAGATTGATGCAGACATGTTTTTGATGTATATGTTTGACTTTTAAGATGTTGAATCTATGATTCTCTATGAATCATACCTAAGCGTGAAGGAGAGATAAAGAGAGAGATGGTGATTAAAAATCTATTAGATTTATTTCCCTCCTAATTAGAAACAATGCTCCAATATTTATATGAGAAAGATAATTATAAAATGATAATTTTCCCTAGTCTTATGCAGTTAGCTGGAGATGTCGAGGGGAGATGATGCCTGAGCTAAATGGAGTTGGTCGGGCCAACTATCTCTGTTATGCCCAACTAAAACTCGCCTAACCGGCTGGAGCTGGTCAGAAAGACTAGAGTTTATGGCCAAGCTAAACAAAGTTGACCCAGTTGACTATGTGGAGCTAGCCTATGAGCAAAGCTGAACTAGTCAACTTGAGCTGGTGGCTAGGCTAAATGGAACATACCAAGCTAACTGTAGCTAGTGTTGTCATATTGATTTGAGAGGGCTGAGTTTATTAGGTTTTTCGGATAGTCTCAAAGCATTAAACTATAAAGGAGAATATCTATCATACATAGTAGTTTGATGATTATTTATCCTTTTTAAAGGAATCAATGAAAAAAACAAGAGAATGATGAATATCAAACTATTATTAATCTTCCTTATAAGAGAAGTACATTCTCAAAGTATAAGTTGAGTATTATTTACATAAAAATTATTGGTATACCCATGCACTGGCTATTCATCTAAATAGTAGATTTCATCTCTCCTAAAGGATTCCATTTTGGGGGTATCATGGATCACCTTCAGGGAACCGTCCCATAGAACTCCAACTAATCAATATTATAGTTGACATTATTTTGTGAGGAGAATTTCCCCAAATGATATTAGTGAAAGTGCACTATGGGAATGTTATCAATGTTTTACAGTCTCAGTCCGTCAGTTATGAGCAATTTATCTGTTGGTTATTAGATTTTCAATGGGTTATCAAATGTGTCAATGTCATAGCTAAAACCTTTTTGATAATTTTTAAATCGACGGGACTTCCGATGACTTTGTTTTTCAAACAACCTTCTGACAAACATTGATTATTACTTTTGAAAAACTCAAAAAGCACAAGGGAACCATCAGTAGTTGTCATTTTCTAATAACCAATGAATTAATCGCTTAAAATTAGCAATTGATTAGCAATAAAAAAGTGTACAACCATCATTTTTATGATGCAGATGATTGATCCCGATTCTCTTTATAGATGTCAAATTGCGATGTATGCGATTATATGCTTAATTTCCTTAATAATGA